CTGATTGCTGCGCATAGAAAGCGAAGCTCCCGGCTTTCACCTATGCTGCATTCAAAGCACTGGTATCCAGCTTCGCAGTTGTTGAGAATGCGTTAGCCGAGCTTGCCACTCTTGCCTCGCTCAACACTAAAGTGGATTTGATTATGAAATCCCTGAATATTGCGAATGAGGACACTGTAACGGGCTGTCCCTCTGCTGGCAGTTCATCCGTTGATGAATCCTTCATCCTACCGGACGCTCCAGTTCATACGGAGATGACTGACTCAGATGCCTCGGACGGCATTGTTGACCTTCCCCAAATAGGTGAGTCAAGGACTCCGGGACCAAAAAAAAATACGCGTAAGATGACAAGGGAAGCACACAAACACTCTGCCCCAAAACCGGGAGGTGATAAAATGCTCAAGAGGCAAACGCCTGAGCTGGAAACACCACCTGCTGCTACAATTCCCTCCTTGAGACATGAGGTGCCCTCACCTTCGGTCCCACCGATTCCTGTCCAACAACCACGTGGCGTGGATGGTAGGGCATGTGGAGTAAATACACCTCGTCTGGGCGATTCTTACACAGAGAGCTGTTTTATTTTCATAAGCGTCACCGAATCCACCTTCGCTCTTCCCACCGAGCGCATGCTTGATGTTCTTGGTTGGCTTAAACTTTGCGTGACCAGGATTTTACCACCAGGTTTCCCTGGCGTTACTGTCAGGAAGCTCAGCAGGTTGGGGAACGTTCTGAAAAGTCAACCAAATCCTCGACCCCGTCTGCCTAGGGTGGTTCTCTCCACCTCAGAAGAGCGCAGGACTTTACTGAGATTTATCTTCAAACTCAATGGTACCGACGTTAGTGTGCAAGTAGACCCTCCTTTAGCGGATAGGTTGAAGTTAAAGGAAGCCATCAGAGACCTAAAAGCCCGGCATGCAGCTGGCGAGCAAGATTTCCTATTGGTGAGTTTTCAGTTGGTTAGCCTGCGGTCTTTTGCCTCCCTGTCAGAAGCTATTTTATTTGCGCACGACCCATGGCTTTTCGTGCCGAAGTCCTCCAAATAGTACTTAGTACCGTGCGTAGCCTGAAGAACAAGAGGTGCGAGGTGTATGTGACGTAGACAAATCTCGTGCAGATATACTTGCTTCCATTGAAGCGCGGCCCTCTACGGAAAACACGGCGAAGTATATATGTTTGGCTAGGCACTGTTCCGCGCCGAGCACGCCATTGGCCGTCAAGCGGGGGGTGTAGCTCTTTATATGAGTTTTCATATCGAGGTATTGAGGACCAGCGTTTTTCAGTCTCTTGACAAATCTGTTGAGGCTCTTGGCGTCTTGATTTGTGCTTCTTCTGTCCAGGTTACTGTCGTGTTAGTGTATAGAAGCCCTATGAGCACCTCCAATGGGATCCTTGAGTTTATACGCACTCACTCTGCGAACAAGTGTCAGGTTCTGGGAGACTTCATCCTCCCAGAGGTTTGTTGGGCTGATCTATCTTGCAGTTCGGCTCTGGGATCCTTCGGTGCACAACTGCTCGACTTGACGCTGCTTGTACCACTACACCAGTTCCTGCACTTCTGCACTAGGCACATGCAATCAGCAGCCGTCTATTATAGATCTTGTTTTTGCTAAGTCACTTGACTTCGTAAATGACATTACTTACGATTCGTCTCTTAGCGTCAGCGATCACGTTTGCTTGTCTTTCCAGTGTACCCTAATCAGGCCTTGCCAAGCTACTAGCAGTTAGTATCCGAACATTTGGGCCGCGAACCTCCAAACGATGCGGGATGATGCTAGGTCACCGTCTTGTGTGCTATCTGTGACCGGCACCGTTCACATAGATTGGGAACATTTTAAGGCTCACCTCGTTGACATTTCTGCACCTCACATCCCACTGGTGAAAAGAAAGGAATCGAGGATGTGGCCCCCGTGGACCGATTCCATGGAGTCGGGCCTGCTAAGGAAGTGGTTTAGATGCTGGCGAGCGTATGGAACAGCTCCGTCGATAAGCACGTTTGACAGGTATCGGTTGGTTCGAAATGAATGCAAGCTACATGTTAGATTGACCCGACTTCAGTACGAAAAGAGCTTACCCGATACTGCTTTGATAGATTCCGAGGAATTCTTCATCTACCTTAAACGGCGCTGTGGTGCAAACTCGCCCATATTACCGTTGCTTCGAGGAGATGGGACCCATGTCTATAGCGACTACGACAAGACATGCGTGCTTGGTGAGCAGTACTCAAGCGCCTTTGTCCGCGAAATAAATACGCTATGTAAAGAACTAGCTACAAGAGTCTCTGAGGACTCTTGTCTGAATGAACTTCCTGTAACTGTGTCTCAAGTTCTCCGGCTGCTGTGAGAAGTGAACCCAACTAAGGCTTCCAGGCCAGATTCTGTTCATTCAAAATTGCTGCACGAATTGGCAGTGAAACTCAGTGGACCTCTGACTTGTGTGTTTCAGAACTCACTCAACAGCTGTGTCTTACCAGCCGAATGGAAGTAGTCTTGTTTCCCGATTTTCAGGTGCGGTGACAAGGACCTACCGGCTAATTACGGGCCTGTCAGCTTGACTAGCGTGGTCTTTAAGTTACTTGAAAAATTATTAGGATACAGTGGAGAACCATTTGAACAAATTTAACCAGCTTAGCGTCGTGCAACGTAGTTTTCGCAAAGGATTTTCGTGTCAAATGAACTTGCTGTTAGCTCGTGAGAGCTGGGCTCTAGCCATAGACAGTGGACGTGTGTTCATTGACTTCGTCGAGACCTTTGACACTGTCTCCCATTCGCGACTCTTACTGAAGTTGTGGTCTTATAGAATATCTGGTCGCGCTCTCCAGTGGGTATCAGCTTTTCTGGATAGACGGGAACAGTGTATTCTTGTGGGAAGCATTCTTTCGTTTCGACAAGCTGTCCTTAGCGGCGTTCCGCAAGGCTCTGTCCTAGGTCCGCTGCTGTTCGGAGTCTACGTGAATGACTTGCCGGGGAAGCTTGAGATACCATCGCTCTTATTTGCTGATGACCTAAAGCTCTGGAATATTGTTGATATCGCTGAAGGTCCTTTGACTCTTCAACGGGCTCTGAATATACTCTGGGAATGGTCTGTTTCGTGTTTGCTGCCTATAAACCGGGCAAAGTATTTAGTGCTGCGTATCGGAGCGTCTGATTCCTCCTTAAGTTATGTGCTCGATGGGAGTGAACTTCCTCACGTGACACATCAGGTTGATCTAGGAGTCGTCAACTGTTCCACACTATACGCTGGAAGGGTGGCTAGTAATGGGTTCCGGATGTTGTGGTTTCTCCATCGATTTTGGGAATCCTAACCGCTAATACTTTTGTGAACCTCTTCTTATTACCGGGGCCAGTCCATAGCAGCCGTCGAAGCTAGCTCTCTCTCTGTCTGGAGCAGCCCGGAGAAGATTGGTGGTATGCCGCCTGTAGCCGATTGGCTAGCCAATGAGAGTCAGCTAATGGTATCGTTTTACCTTGAACTGGACCAATCAGAATCACCTTGCTTGAAGCCCTCCAGTAAGCACACTACTTGATCAGCCAACAAGCGAGTTTTTGCGCATCTAGTAGTTGCTATCGTCAGGAACTTTCACTTAGGTCTTTCTCTCATGAACTATTTATTTTGACCACATATTATGTCTGTACATTCTGTCTCCCGAGTGCTCCATACAAGTCGGCCGGTGGCCGGTGGCCGAGTGGTCGGCACGTTTGCTTTCCAACCGTAAGGTCACCGGTTCGAATCCGCGTAGGGGTGAGCGTCCTCGCGGTATACTCAGCCCGCGCGCGACTAGTGGTGGTCGCGCGGCAGCGAAGCGCCGTTACGGCGTATAAGCTGACACCTTTTTTTTCTTTCTTCCCATACAAGTTCCGCCAGAGACCTTTGTCTTCTGATTTGAAAGGTGGCTGTATCGTGACCAGAGTGGCTGCATTGATTTTCCGTACTATCTGCGGAATCACAACACTTATCAGCGTTCGTGCGACTCCACCTAGAATATTGCGTCCAGGCCTGTCCACCATGCATTGTCCGGAACAAAATGGCACTAGAAAGGGTGTTGCGTTCCGGTACTAGTTTGGTCGAAGGGTTACGAGGACAAATGTATCCCGAACGCCTACTTAGTTTGGGGACGCATTCAATGCACTGGTTAGAGGAGAATTAATCCTTATCTACCGTATTTTAACAGGGAAGGTTGGCCCTGATTTGTCCTGGCTTTTTGGTCCTGCTAGATTATCTGTTCTGCGCGGGCATTGTATGAAGCTGGACAAGCCGCGGTCCGATGGAGTTAGAGCGTAAACACGATTATCGCGTCAAGTCAACGACCGCTGGAACTCGCTTCCAGAAAATGTTGTCAAGGAAGCTACAGTTAAAGGGTTTGAACGTCAGCTAGATGCTCTTGGGTGGCGATACGAAACCTTTCCTTTTCCCTAGCTAATTCCCCTCTTCATACTTTGATTTTCTTTTCTTTACTTTCCTCCACCATTGGTATTATTTTCTTTCAACTGATTTCCCTTACTCTTTACCTTCGATTTTTCTTCCTCTTACTTCACCTAACTGGCATAGCAGGGTTTGTTAATGCAAGGAACGTGAGCATTAAATTGGTAGACCAGGGTGTTTTTCGGGTGTTTTCGATTTAGATCCAACAATAAGTTAGAGCAATTCTATTAACTCCTGGATCAAAGACCAGCTCAAGCAGGAACAGTTGCGGGATTCATCCTATCGATCTGGTCCCACCTGAACTTGAACTTAAACTTGCACAGTGCATTTGCTTTTTTCATATTCAATTTTCAATTTCAGCATGGAATACTTGGTTACATCCTTATTGTGTCAGACAAGAGAATTTTTATTGCGTTCTGGTAACGAGACAAACTGCCCATAATGTCCCGTCTTATTCGGTCGGTGGCTTGCGCCGTATCTGGTGGCGTGGATAGCGCAGTATCTGCATATCTTTTAAAACTGCAAGGTATGTTAGTATCTACTCACTGTTTCGCGAAGGATTCCATGTTTCCGGAGTTTTTATGACTAATTGGGATCCCTTGGATGAGGACGGCGAATGCTCGACCAGCAAAGATAAGAAGGATGCTCAGTACATCTGTGATAAGCTAGACATTCCGTTTTACGATTTAACTTTTGTTCGCGAATACTGGCTGTATGTTTTCCAGTATGCACATCCCCGTCCCGTAGGATAATGGTCACTTTTCTTTCAGACCACTTTTGAAGTACTATGAGTACGGTTGGACTCCTAATCCAGACGTATTGTGCAATCGTTTCATAAAGTTCAATTTTTTCGCCAACAAAGTCTTGCGAAATCTTCAGCAGGAGGATGATCCCTCGCAAAGCTCTAAACAACGGTGTTCATTGCAGGTGGATGCAATTGCAACGGGTCATTATTGCCAAAATTCGTTCGGAAACTATTTGCAAAAGCGCTCCTCAGAAAGACCTTTTTTAATGCGCAGCGCCGACCCCGTAAAGGACCAGACATTTTGGCTATCAACAGTGAGTTCTCCACTAGCTTTACTCCTTGGTTTTTACTAGCACCATGGGCTATACTTCGGTATTTTACTCCAACCAGATTACCACGCCAACTTTGCATTGTTTAAACTAACCTCTACTGAATTATACTGTTCTCAATAAGGTTTTGCCTTTATGCCGTATCTCAATTTAAACGAGCACGCCACTTTGTGCACTTGTAGCTGTGCAGATAAGAAGCAAAGCTGCCTTGTGTTGGCGGAGTTTTCATACTTTCCATCTCAGGTGATGCCGAACACATTGCTCGCGTCGGGGGGGTAGTGGGGCAGACGGTGAACCTCAGCCCAGGTACTTGACTTTCAACCTCTGTGCATCGGGTCTGAGTGCTTGCTACTGCCCGAATTCGGGTCCTTTGACATTGTCCAGTCCACGTATAATCGTTTGCCGCTGCGAAGCATCAGTACAAAGTACTGTTGTGCTGTTGCTGATACTATCCTAGTATTTGTCCTGTTGAACATCCTCATGTGTACAGTTCTACTTCAAGACTCCATGTTGAAGTTAACGACAAGTGGCCCTGACTTCATACCTAGCTATAGAAGTACTGGTGTCGCTGCGCATGACGGCTTGTAAAATCGGTTATCTTTCAGATACAGAACAGTTCATCGAAAGTCGTTTTTAGTACTGGAAACTGCGACGCCTTAAGCAGTGCACCAATCGCAGCCTCCATGATGTCATGCAAGTTTTCTATCATGGGTAGTCTTATCGAGCCCCGATCGTTTTTCCGAAAAGTTGTTGATCTCAAGGGCATTTTACACCGAAGAGAATTCTCGAACGTCGGTATAGTGGTGTTACAAAAAAGTTGGTCGCATCCCTACCTTGAAGATTTAGCCATGAAACTCGTTGGCTATCGACAGATTAGATCCGACTGTCCAGGAAACCCCCAGCAGCGCAAAGTCTGATCATCTATATTAGCTTGGACTGGTGTACCTCAGTTTCACAACTATCCGCTTACTCAACGGCTTCAAAAAGCTGCTACCTGCCTTGATGTAAATCATAGGTTTTAGTGGTTTTCTATTTGCTGTAGTTGGCAACGTTTATGTAACGCCTGCCGCAGATCACCTTGTCTCGGAATTGTATCCGAAGTTAGAATGTTCCATCTGCACCGCTGGTAACTTCAATAGGAGTGACTTCTGTAAAATTCTCTGTGTTCAACCAACTTGGTGGAATTCCTAACAGATTCCATTCACATGTGGATTTAGTTTTTACTAACAGACGCAACCTTTCTCCCACGCCGCCCTTGGCAATTTGAACCACAGCATTTTGCAGTTTTGCTCCAAAATTTATTGTAGGGCCAACTACGTTGCGAGAATGAGGCCATTCGGAACTGCTAAGCGGCGTGACTGCAAAGCTCAAATTGACGCTCTATTTAACCAACTCAATTTTTACCAATGAGGATCTGTCCGTTCATTGCGAGCACCTTACAGGCTACATCAGTATCTTTCAATCCTTATTGCCTTATTAAGACCATCTATCTTCTATCAATCTGCCTGATTTTAATCTCCACTGCTCAAGCAACCGCGTTTAAAGAAGAAAAGGCTCACAAATACAGGCTAATGGGTCTTATGAAATGTTTGTCTGTGGGTATAAAAGCACACATAAGGCTTAGCATCCCATACATTGAAGCGGTTTTAGGGAACCACAGTTGCTGTGACCTGTGGATGCTCTTGATGCTATTCACCGACAAAATTCCTGTTATTCACTTGGTTCTGTGGACGTGAACAAGCTCAACACAGAATTCAACTTTTCAAAATCCAACACATTTTTCCTCCTTTCCCCATCCCTGGTCCTCCCACTCTATTTGACTACACCAGTGTTTACAGGGAGATCATATGACTTTAGTCACATAAAACTAATTCCCTGATTCCCTCTCACCAATCGCTCTGAAAGAGAATGTGAATGTATTACAATCACCTCTGTTAGAGATTTCCGGCCGATGTTTAACGACCGGCACAATCCCCGAGGTCTGGAAAGCAGCCAGAATAACACCAGGGCTTAGAAGGAACCGGTTGGTAGCGTGCACCATCGTGCTGTTGACGGTTCTTGAATAACGACTAATTCTTCGCATTTTCATCAGCGGTTATACACATGATATCAAACAGTTTTAATACAAGCCAGGGGGGCTCTAAAATGTACGCCGTTTCGTAACTTGTGCAACCTATTGCACCACCTTTAGATAATATATGCAGGAGTGTGCAGCTCGTGTTCCTCAATTATGCCGATGCTTTTAGGAACCTTGACAAATCGTTACTATCGAAACGTTTGGTGGAAATCGACGTTCCCCCAAATGGATGTACTGTAATGCGTGACTGCTTTACGAATCGCACACAGTTATATGATTGAGGATTGTCCGCAATCCCAGTCAATTGTGCGATTTCACAAGGAGCTATTTTATCTTCCTTTCTGTTTCCCCTCTATGTAGGGCATCTGTCTATACCGACCAGTTTTATCGACTGACTTCTTCCTAGATTGCGTGATTTCATTAACTGAGGAATCTTTGAAACCAACAAGGATTAGACGAACTCTTGACTTTGTAAAGGTTCCGGTCCCTTTGATCTTTATAAGTGTTGTACTGTCACGTTCACTTTTTCTCGGCTTGCTAAACTGCTTTCCTTTTTGATACTTCTGCTTCTTTGGTCATGAGTGACCAAAGCATTCCTCTTTTATATTCCCAAAGTGTCTCGGTGTTTTTATCTTATAACATCCTCGACACATACTTGAGACCTTTCAGAAGGTCCGAAGGCTACCCTCTTACTCCCTCAAGCTCAAATTGCGCTTCGTACCACGCACTTTGATTCCCAGGTTTGTAGATGCATGTATGTTCCCTCAGTGCTTATATTTCTGTTATTTTCCACGAACTTCTTCAGTGGTTTATACTCTATATGCCCACTAAATTTAGTTTTCGATGCTCTGGACTAAGCAAAAAATTTATCCTTGACGCATGCTTTGACTTTTATCCAGGATTCCAAACGATTTATTTCGCCTTCTACACACCTATCTAGCCAGGATACTAACTATTGCTTCCACGCGGTCGAAATTTAGCTTTCTACTGTCTTTTCTCTGCGTATCGCAACTCCATTTTGCCCTATTGGTTTTGCTTGATAGTCGACCGAAAAATAACGATCCATCGATTGCGGGGCCTTTTGCTTGATTTAAAGTATGCACGTTTTTGGAAATATTTGGGTGTTGCTCCTCCCAACACAGGCACGCCACGATCGCGGTTTCATCCTGGTTCGTACTTATCAGGTGTCGATAGCCTGAGCTCAGGTGGAACTCAGAGCCTAGTAGTTCACTGCTGACGCCCTAAACACGACGCTACTGAGATCCGCGAGCAACACTTGGCAAGGCAGAAAGGAATTCAAAGTTGAATTTGGGGAACCCGCTGTGTGGCTGTGCTGCGACATGCAATCACACAGCTTGTTCCACAATTTCAACTTTGAATTCCTTTCCGCTGTGCCATGTGTTGCTTGCGGATCTAAGTAACCTCGTGTTCAGGGCGTCAGCAGTGAACTACTAGGTTCTGAGTTCCAAGCTAGCTCAGGCTATCGACTCCTGATGAGTCCAAACCAAGACGAAACCGCGGTCGTTGTGTGCCATTGTTGGGAGGACAACACCCAAATATTTCCATTCAGGAGGACCGCGGTTTTCCTCAGAGTGAAGTGAAGTCTCAATAGAGGTTGCGTGGCGCAATCCAAACGCACAGTGGGTTCCCCAAATTTAACTTATGCTCATTTTGTTTTCTAGTTCAAGTTCAAATGGGACTGAAACGGTAGGTGAATCCTGTGATTGTTCCATCTTGTAAAGCATCGTTGATCCCGGAGTGAAATCTGTAGGACGATCTGCAATGTGGAGCCAAGTCATCACACACGGTACCCTCTAGGTCAACCAAATGATGCGCACGTTAACTGCACTAGAGGCCCCAGCTGTGCGGGCCACGTGTAATGTAGTACAAGTGGAAGAATAACAAAAACAAGGCAAATTGTAGCAATGAGTGCAGCGATTTTGGTATGCAAATGAGAAGTTAAAACGGTGTAAGCATCAACAGATAAGAGCAAAGCTAAGCTGAGAAGTGGAAGCTTTTAAACTGCAGACCAAGGGCGTCAAGTCGATGCTGGAACACTTTCACTGCATTATTTTCTCACTGGTTCCATGTCGTGGTGTGAGACCTAAATATGCGAACGGAGTTGTTAATTGTGGCAAATATCTTCGACCATATGTATCAGTTTTGACCACCGACCATTCTACGCATCTTCTTTTGGAGATTGCATGACGCACGCTGTTTCTGTGTCCATTTTTTTGGCACACATGTCTGCGACTCAAACATTTTTCCTCTGCTGGGACCTGGGCATGGTCCCGCTACTTTCTCTTTTTCCCTTATACTTCCATACCACTGATTATTGGTGCTGTGATGTCTGCGTTTGACCCACTACACTCATCCATCTCTAAAGCGTTAACTCCCGCTACCTTTTCCTGGAATAATTTTAATCGTCGGCGTTGCTTTTTGCGCGAACTGGTTCTCTCCTCCAACTCGTGCCACTACCTCAGTTCACTCGCATGTACTCGCCGTGAATCTCCATACCTAGCGATTGTATACACCTCGTCGGTTGGCCACTTCTTATGGCGCCTTTCACTTTGATAGGTTACCTTTCCCCTGGGCACACTGATGGTCCCTGTGTTTCCCTTTCCAGCCACTTGGTAACTCACCACCCGACTAGCCGTTTTGGATTTGGGACTTCTCCGTCATCCGCGCATGAGTTGCTTTCAGGTTACGGCGCCGCCCTTCTGCTGCCCTGTACATTTTGTAGGGATTCGGCAGTTCGGCCACACTCCATCGAGACTGAACCTTAACGTGGTGCGACGGTTTGCGTACCTCATTTACCCATTGAGCTATACTGGGTGGTGCCTCCAGGCAACTTGAGAGCTACTCCTACCAGGTTACTCAATGGTGTGAGGTCAGACGAACTCAGTCTCTTGCTCCTCCAGGTTGGAGGTTTGAAATGGGATGGCGTCCATTTCTGTAAAACTATGTCATTGCCACATTCCCGCTGCCTTGTGGATCGGCATTTGAGCCAAAGGCTTTGGATGAGGACCCTAATCGTCCTGCTGTC